GAGGTGCTCTCTGGGGTGTCCTCCTACCAAGCTGGCTATTGAAGGCCTCCTGGTGCTCAGGGAGCACGGACGACACTCGCCGTCGCTTCAGCTTCATCTTGAGGCCACACAGCGTCTCCACCACCCAGGTCTCCTCAGGGGCGAGCTCCTTCTCTGGCTCCTCCTCAGATTGGTCTGACCACTCCCTCTTCCTTTTCCAGCAAAGGGACCTACGTGAGGGTCTGGAATCTACCCCAGGGGCTGAGTAAAGAAACCAGACCAACGTGTAATGCTTCTGCAACTGATCACCTTAGACCCCGACCCCTAACCCCAAACCACTCTCCATCCTCCCCAGCCTTGTAGACTGCCGGCTTCTCCAAGCCATCTTTCTGACTTTGTCCTCTGTCAACCCCACGTGCTGCTCCTTCCCCTCCCCATTCTTCCGTTTCTCTGTCCTCAGAACACTTCCTCATGTCCTTCCCTGGTCCCTGGCTCTCTGAGTCCCTCCGTTTTTTGTTTGTTTGTTTCGAGACAGAATCTTGCTTTGTCTCCCAGGCTGGAGTGTAGTGGTGCAATCTCAGCTCACTGCGACATGTCTCCTGGATTCCAGTTATTCTCCTGCCTCAGCCTCTCTGGTAGCTGGGATTACAGGTGCCTGCAATAATGCCCAGCTCAATTTTGTACTTTCAGTAGAGACAGGGTTTCACCTTGTTGGCCAGGCTGGTCTCAAACTCCTGGCCTCAAGTGATCCTCCTGCCTTGGCCTCCCAAAGTGCTGGGATTACAGGTGTGAGCCACAGAACCCAGCCTGAATTTCTCCAGACTGGAGTGCAATAGAGCGATCTCGGCTCACTGCAACCTCTTCCTCCCAGACTCAAGCGATTCTCCTGTCTCAGCCTCCCGAGTAGCTGGGATTACAGGCGTGCATCACTACCGCCCAGCTAATTTTTGTACTTTTAGTAGAGATGGGGTTTCACCATGTTGGCTAGGCTGGTCTTGAACTCCTGACCTCAGGTGATCTGCCTGCCTCGGCCTCCCAAAGTGTTGGGGTTACAGGCGTGAGCTACCATGCCTGGCCCCCTTCCTTCGTCTTAGTCAATCCTATCCCACCTCTTCTTCCTCCAGTCACCTCACCTGATGGTCCTGACACTTCATCATCCCCCACCTCCCAGAGGGGGTACCCTGAGGTGCTCACCTGGGGGCTCTCCTCCTTATGCTTGGCGAGCAGGATGGTCATGATTTTTCCCAAAATCTGTCCCATTCCATGGAAAGAGTCTCTGTTCTGCCCAAGGCCTTTTTCTGGACTCTGCTAGGAGCCAGAAGAGTGTGTTACAAATTCTCGAGGCTGGGAGAAGTCAGGAGTGGAGAACAGCTCTGAGAAGATGCTACTGTCCACTTCAGCTCCCAGGCACCCATGCAGTCCGGTCCTTCCAGTCAGGAAGGTTGGAATCTCTGATGTCATTGGCCATTCCAACCTGGCAACCAGTTTGAAGAAAAACACATGTAACTGCCAGGCTGATCTCTTGTCCTGGAGATGCTGAGTGAATGATATCTCCTGCCACTGTCCCGACCTCAGACCACTGTCCATAAGCATCTTCAGTGTCTCCGCATCCCTCTGTTCCCTGTCCCAGCAGAGGCTGTGTCCTCTCCACTCAAAGCCTGAGGCATGGTGGGGTCTCCTCTTCTCTGTACATGCCCATTTCAGAGTCCAGTGTGGTGGGAGAGGGAACAGGGTGGGAAAGAAAACTAGGGTAAGCAGAAACGATGAAACCTTACAAGAGTGAGATGATCATGTACAAGAGATCCCAGGAACATTGACTTGATGAAAAAGTCACATCAGAACACTCAATTTGGCAGAGCTTTTCTGCCGAATGTTCACTGACATTCACCGTCCGAGATTCTATACTGGGGGAACACACGTCCTCTGCCCTAAGGCATCTTTGAGTCCAAGAGACATTTTGAAGTCTAAAAATCACAGGAATCTGCCCATGAGCTCATACATATTTCCACTGGTGTCCCCAATTTCAGGGAGTCCATGGATCACCTAAAGCCAGCCCCTCCAGTACGGCTAAGAAACTCTAGTCTATATATCACGTTTTATATTATATGTATTGCTCTGAACTCAGAAATTTCCCTACCATTTATGGATTCTATGAATAAAATATCACATGTACAAAAAGACTAAGTTGAAAAATCTCAGCTGTGCACAGTGGCTCATGCTTGTAATTCCATCTCTTTGGGTGGCCAAGGGAGGAAGATTGCCTGAGGCCAGCAGTTTAAGACCAGCGTAGGCAACATAGCAAGACCCCATCTCTAAAAAAACAAAACCAAACTAAATTAGCCAGGTGTGGTGGCTGGCACCTGTGTTCCAACAACTTGGGAGACTGAGGTGGCAGGAGGATTGCTTGAGCCCCAGAGTTAGAAGCTGCAGTGAGCTATGATCTTATTACCGCACTCCAGTCTGGGCAACCCAGCATGACTTTGTGTCAAAACAATTTTTTAATAAAATATATAAGAGTTGTACGACACTCAGAGACCACCCAAAGAACCTGTGGGGTCTCGCTCTGTCACCCAGGCTGGAGTGTAGGGGTGCAATCTCAGCTCACTGCAACCTCTACCTCTTGGGTTTGAGCCATTCTCCTGCCTCCGCCTCCCAAGTGGCTGGGACTACAGGCATGCGCCACCACATCTGGCTAATTTTTAGATTTTTAGTAGAGACAGGTTTCACCATGTGGCCAGGCTGGTCTCGAACTCCTAATCTCAAGTGATCTGACCACTTCAGCCTCCCAGAGTGCTGGGATTACAGATGTGAGCCATCACACCTGGCCAAGGTCTTATTAATATAATTTTTGCCAAGACCAATGTCCTGAAGTGTTTTCTCTGTGTTTTCTTCTAGTAATGTCATAGCTTTGGGTCTTACATTTAAGACTTAAATTCATTTTGAGTTTATTTTTGTATATGATGAGAAATAGGGATCAAGTTTCATCCTTCTGTTTATGGATACCCAGTTTTCCTACCATTTATTGAAGAGACTGTCCTTTCCCCAATGAATGTTCTTGGAGCCTTTGTCAAAAATGCATCCACTGGCCAGGCACAGTGGCTCACGCCTATAATCTTATCACTTTGGAATGGTGAAGTAGGTGGACTGCTGGAGCCAGGAGTTTGAGACCAGGCTGGGCACCGTGGTGAAACTCTGTTTCTACAAAAAAATACACACACACGTGTGCACGCACACACACACACAAACACACACACACAAATAGCTTGGTGTGATGGTACATGCCTGTGGTCCTAGCTACTTGGGAGGCTGAGGTGGGAGAATCACCTGAGCCTGAGGAGGTCAAGGCTACAGAGAGCTGAGACTGTACCACCGCACTCCAGCCTGGGTAACAGAGTGAGATCCCATCTCAAAAAAAAAGACTTCACTGTAGATGTACGGATTTATTTCTGGGTTCTCTGTTCTGTTTCATTGGTCTTTGTATCTGTTTTTATGCCAGTGCCATGAGGCTTTAATTCCTGTAGCTTTGTAGTATATTTTGAAGTCATTTAGTGTGATGCCTTCAGCTTTGTTCTTGCTCAGGACTGCTTTGGCTATTTGGGTTTTTTTGTGGTTCTATATGAATTGTAGGATTGTTTTTGCTATTTCTGTGGAGAATTGGTATTTTGATAGGGATTGCATTGAATCTGTAGATTGCTTTTGGTAGTCTGATCATTTTCACAGTATGAATTCTTGCAATCCATCAGCATAAGGTATCTTTCCGTTTTTCTGTGTGTCCTCTTCAATTTATTTCACCAGTGTTTTAGTTTCCCTTACAGAGACCTTCTCCTCCTTGGTTAAGTTTACTCATAGGTATTTTTTTATAGCTACTGTAAATGGGATTGCTTTCTCCATTTATTTTTCAGCTAGTTCACTGTCAATATACAGAAGTACTGTTGATTTTTGTCTGTTGATTTTTATATCCTGCAACTTTACTAAATGTATCAGTTCTAAAAGTTTTTTAGAGTCAGGCATGATGGCTCACACCTGTAATCCCAGCACTTTGGGAGGCCGAGGTGGACACATCACAAAGTCAGCAGTTCGAGACCATCCTTGCCAACATGGTAAAACCTCATCTCTACTAAAAATACAATAATTAGCTGGGCATGGTGGCACGTGCTTGTAATCCCAGCTACTCAGGAGGCTGAGGCAGGAGAATCACTTGAACCCAGGAGTCACAGGTTGCAGTGAGCTGAGACTGTGCCATTGCACTCCAGCCTGGGTGACAGAGGGAGACTCCATCTCAAAAAAAAAAAAAAAAAGTTTTTTAGTGGAGCTTTTAGGATTTTCTATATATAAGACCATGTTGTCTTAAAACAGGGATGATTTGACGGCTCTTCTCTAGTTTGAATTCCCTTTATTTCTTTCTCTTGACTAACTGCTCCGTCTAGGACTACGGACCTCCGTCTAGTACTATTGAATAAGAGTGGTGAGGGTGGGCATTTATATGTTGTCCCAGTTCCAAGAGAAGAAACTTTAAGCTTTTCCCTATTCAGTGTGATGTTAGCTGTGGATTTGTTACATGTGGCCTTTATTGAGTTGACATACATTCCTTCAATGCCTACTTTTTTCAGAGTTTTGTCATAAAGCAATGTTGAATTTCCTCAAATGCTTTCTCCTCATCTCTTGAGATGATTACATGGTTTTTGTCCTTTGTTCAGTTGATGGGATGCATCACATTTATTGATTTGCAAATGTTGAACCATCCTTGTATCTCTGGGATAAATCCCACTTGATCATGGTGAAGGATCTTTTTAATGTGCTGCTGGATTTGTTTTGCTAGCATTTTGTTAAGGATCTTTGCATCTATGTTCATCAGGGATACTGGTCTGTAGTTTTCTTTCTGTGTTGTGTTCTTGTCTGGTTTTCATATTAGGGTAATGCTGGCCTTGTAGAAAGACTTTGGAGGAATCCCTTCCCCTTTAATTTTCTGGAAGAGTCTGAGAAGAATTTGCATTGGTGCTTTTTTAAATATCTGGTAGAATTCAGCGGTGAATCTGTGGCTCTTCCTGTCTCTTATACACATCTAGATGTGTATAAGAGACAGCACTGCCGCCGTAGGGATTCTCCCCCGCGTGGATTCTGGCGTGGATGAGGAGACACGATTTCCGGGAGAAGGACCGCCCGCATTCCCTGCAGCCATAGGGCTTCTCCCCCGCGTGGATTCTGGCGTGGATGAGGAGACACGATTTCCGGGAGAAGGACCGCCCGCATACCCTGCAGTCGTAGGGCTTCACCCTAGTGTGGGAGCTACGGTGCTCGATGAGGCGCGACTTGTGGGAGGTTTTCTCGCACTCGGAACACCTGTAAGGCTTTGCTCCCGCGTGAACTGTCCCCGGGACACAGAGGCGGGTCTTCTGGAAGATCGTTTTACCCCTTCTGCCGTCTCTACAGGGTTTCTCCTTTGTTTGAGTTCCCTGTTTGTCGGGGCAAACTTTCTCCCTGGAACCACGCCCCCGTTCACTGCACGCAAAGGATTTCTCCCCCGTGTGGACCCCGTGATGCACCATGAGGGCCGATCTGCAGAAGAAGGCTTTCCCACACTTGGTGCATGCGTGGGGTTTCTCACTACTGGCTCCTTGAGCTGCAGGAAATCCCTCGTCACAGCTTAAAGCACTTCCACACTGGTGACGTCCGCGTGCATTCGCTCCTAAAGGTGGAGTTTCAAGTTTCGAATACAGGAACAAGTTTCCACCGCTGTCGCACTCAAATCTCCTCCTCGCCAGGTAGGCGTTAGGAGTGAAGTCCAGGTTACACATAAGACTCTTTCCACACAAGTCACCTGTGTGGACCTGCTGTTTTGATGGAAGGAGGTTTGGGCTCTGATGGAGTTTTTTTCCTAGTTCATTACATTCATGAAGCTCATTTCGGGTCCAGTCTTTCTTGTCTAGGAACGTATGGCTCAAACGTTGGTCTTGGTGTTTCTGTTGGCTATCTGGCTGGGTAAAAACTTGCCAAACTTCTAGAAAAAAATAACACAAACTTTTTTTTTTTTTAAGACAGAGTCTCACTCGGTTTCCCAGGCTGGAGTGTACTGGCGTGATCTTGGCTCACTGCAACTTCTGCCTCCCAGGTTCAAGTGATTCTCCTGCCTCAGCTTCCAGAGTAGCTGGGATTACAGGTGTCGGCCACCATGCCCAGTTAATTTTTGTATTTTTAGTGGAGACAGGGTTTTACCATGTTGGCCAGGCTGGTCTTGAACTCCTGACCTCAGGTGATCTGCTGGCTTCGGCCTCCCAAAATGCAGGGATTACAGGCGTGAGCCACCATGCCTGGCCATAAATTTGTTAATCTTGGAGTATTATATCACAAAAGTATTGAGGAAAAGCTTGAAGGGAGGATTCATTTTGTGGTTTCAAGTCTAATTGCCTGTAATCGGAGCTGCTCAGGAAGCTGAGGTGGGAAGATTGTTTGAGCCTGGCAGGTTGAAGCTGTAGTGAGCTATGATCACACCGCTGGAGGGAAACTCTGTCCCAGAAAGTAGTAAAACCAAGTGCCTGGTCCCTCCCTTGAGACCCAGGTTACACGAGGCCTTCACTATCCACACTTCCTATGTTCTCCTGACCTATGCTCCCTTTCATTCCGTATACCAACTGGATTTTCTCAAAGCATGAGGTCCTTTTTGTTGTTGTTGAGATGGA